GAATAACGACGGGACGACGTGCCAGTTTTGCCGATCGGAAGATCGGTAAAATCGAAGAATCCGAGACCGTAGAATCTAATCTTTCACACGCTAGTTCGAACGGACGACCGCTCGCCGGTAGGCGAGGAAAATAGATTTAAAAAAATAGATTATAAAAAATAGAAAATATATAGAAAAATATATAAATATATATATATATTATATTAAAATATATATTTATATAAATATATAAATATATATATTATATTAAAATATATATTTATATAAATATATAAATATATATATTATATAATAAATATATAGAAAAATAGAAAATAGATTAGATATCTTGCACTACACTTTTTCAAGCAGAAAAATTTATCGTATTAATTTAAGAACCCGCAGTTATCTTGTTAACTAACCTAACTTCTGTATTTTACTATCTTTCTTGTGATCTTAGAACTAATTGGTAACTTCCTGTATATATTCGATGGATAAAGAAATAAAAATAAAATTACATTTGCTGCAAGAACATTCGTTTCTGCGACGAATCGCTGATCTCTTTTATCTAGTTTTAACCGTTTTCGACGAGCACACGCGTCATACGTTCGCGTACAAATTTGCTGGTGAAAGCTAAAAAGAAAAAAGAAAAACACTCGTCTATCTTAAGATGTCTCGAATCTGTCGAAATAGAACGAGCGAATCGAATGATATAAATAATGATCGCGATAAAACTGTTGTATGGTTAAGTAGTATAATATATTAAGTAGTGTACCGGACGTCGCTTACTTAGAGCGACATGTTCTAGAGGTTAGACACGTTTCAAAGAGGTCGCCTCCGACAGTTAATTCATTCTACCGTCATTATTAGGCTCGCCTGGAGTCGATCGTTCAACTTTGTTTCTCTCCTAACTCATTTCTACTCACTTTTTAACATGAAATTCCATATTTACCTAAAAAGAACATTTTCGTCGGTAAAATAAATATAACTAACTAACAGAGTGATATAAATAAATAAAAAGTGATTCGAATACGAACGGAAACCGATCGACGAGTGGCTGGTTCGTGGGAGGAGAGCCTCGAGAGAGTTTTCCAGCGCGGCGTTCGAATCGCGCGGAAATATCCCGGTTGGTTGCAGCGAGCGCATCGATTGCATTGTCCGTCGTTTCAATGGCATTTCGCGCGACCGTCTCGGACAACGTTTCCACGGAGCCTTGTGTCTCAGTTTACTCTCCTCTGCGCATTGTTACCGGCGGCGACCGACCGACCGACCGATCGCAATCTCTCGAGCACCTAGATATTTCCAATTCGATCCGGGAAGGAAAGAAGATAGCGCCCGACGGCGTTCTTTCACCCGGTCAAAGTACGAGGCCCGGCGCGAATCGGCGAAGATAATTGAACGACTCTCGCAAGCCAATCGGTGTAAGTCCATTAACGTTCAAATTCAGATAACCGAGAATTTCGCGAACGAATTCTCAAAGGAACCGAACAACCGTGCCCACCAACGATGCAAAGCACGATTCTTATTACAATTAAAACCAGATACCAGAAAATACCAGAGAAGTATTTTTTATCGATACCTAATTCGAATTGTTTCATTTGCATCGTTTCCTAGAATTTTCTTTATTTAGTCGCGCCGCCGTCGATTGTTCATTTACAAAAAAAAAACCGACTTATCATCGGATCCAACGGTCGAGAGATCCTACGACGAAGACGTGTTTGCACAGCTGAACTTCTTTCCAAAGAGAAGTGCACTTACATTGATTGGCTTTCGAGCCGTCCGATTAATCGACGGTCTCCGCTATCTCCGCGAAAACAGCTTTCTTCCATTCGTGGCCGGCCGGCTTGTTCGAGAGTCTCGCGATAAAGGCTCGCGCAATCGAGTAATGGACAGCCGGGAGGAAGAGGAACCGTTGAACGCTTTCGAAAAACCGGGACCTCCTCCCATCGAGAAACACCTCGGACGACTGCGACCGGCGGCGCCGACGACCGGCGGCGACCGACGGCGACCGACGCCGGTCACCGGAAGCGCGTCGCGTAACGACCGTTAAGAAGCTTCCGTTGCGAAGTCGGCCGCCATGGATGAGCCGAGATCAATCCGGGGGGGGGGGGGGG